TGGTATCCCTCGTTGCAGAGCTTACACGCACGATGACAAGAAAAACGGTCGTTCATCCAACGGCGAGTTACGAGGAGTTTGTTCATGCGCAGAGGGCAAGCCATGTGACCCGGCTGACCGTCAGGTTAACACTCTTATACCATGGTGTCTTCCACATACGGGAAACCGCCACAATCACTGGGCGGGGCTGTACGGTAGACTGGAGTGGGACGGGTACTTCAGTACAACCATCACAAATCCTGAGCCCATGGGAAAGCAGGTCAGCAGGTGTATTTACAATACAATTAGAACAAAGAAACTCGTAATATTACTTATGACGACTTTCTGTTTGCTGGGTAAATTAGGAATGTCCGATTTTCTTTATTTCATTTGATTAGGGCCGAGTCCTTCATCCACAGCAACACAGAGTTGTCAGTGTGAGAGAATGTGCTAGGTCCCAGGGATTTCCCGACGCTTATCGATTCTATGGCAGCATCATCGATAAACATCGACAGGTGAGTGGTAAAACAGAGCACGTAAACTGCTAAGGCGTATTACAGATCGGGTAACGCGAAGGAAGACAAATTCACTCGTTCACTCTCAGATGTAATTCACTATATATCATTCTTAGATGATCATGTTACATTGGTAGTAAATTATTAAATCACGTGACTCAATGATGCAATCGCTACACTCCTCATTCTTCAGATCAGTTCCTCGTAATAACCTGGTTCTGGGTTTCCTTAACATGCAACTACTCAATCACTTATTCAGTAAATAAAAATTGATTGCATGCACTTATCAATGAAACATATTCAGTGCTGGTACCATGACCGCTCTGTAATTCAAATAATCATAATCAACGTCATTAACGCAACAAGTGTTCAATGTTCATAATCATTGGTGACAGCGTCTGAGCAATGTTCTAAGTCAATTCACAGTTCCTGTGGTGTAGTCAAATGTAGATTTGGTCTGTCGCTGTGATCTGCGCAATGGTAGGGTTTGATTGGTAGGCGTTGCCTCAATTGGTATTGGTTGGGTAACACTGTCGTGGGTGGCTCTTGGTGTTGCCACTTGCGTTGTTTCGTGGGTGGAGGCTGGTGCTGCCTGGTATTTAGCTGCTGGTGGGATTACTGGTCTTGCCATAGATGGTTTCCTTTGTTGTTCTCTTGCTGGGATGTATGTTGAATTTGGATGCGTCTCGGCATTCTGTTTCCCAATCATTGACTCTCCTGGCGTGGATTGAAGAGCCACATACCTTTGTAGCGATGTAGAAGTACGGTTCGAATGGGGAGTCTCCCTTGCGTTTCTTGTCCCGTTTCAGGAGAACCGCCTCTCCGGCTGTGAACTTGTGGTCTTTGGCTCTGTGTCCTCGGCCATGGTAAGACTTCAATCTGTCTTTGTGTTTGCGGTCTCTTTTCCTGACTTCTCTGTCCCTGCTGGCTCTCTTTGTTGGCTCTCTCTTTTGTTGGGCTCTCAAGTTTGGTTCGGATTGCTCGGTTCATGAGGAGTTCGTACGCAGTTCCTGAGGCTGGGTGCGGTGTCTCACTGTATGCTTGTAGCATTGTCATAGGTTGCTTCATGGAGATCAGTGCTTTCTGCGCGGGCTATCGCGGCTGTTTTGTTCATGAGTTTGTTGAAGCCTTCCACTTGTCCCTGGGCTTTGGGATGTCGTGGCGTGAGGTTTTCACCAGAAAACCTCAAAACTGTAGTTACCATTCCAGAAAACCTATCACTTTCCGATTCAGATAAATTATTTAGCTTCACAATAATCTGCCTTCCCTTTTTCAATCTTCAAAGAGCATACTTGTGAATTATTTCTTCCAGATAGGTAACAAACACCTTTCCTGCTTTTCTCCAAAGACGGCATTCCCGTCAAGGCAGAGGTTTAATTGTAGTCTCATTAGAAAGCATTTCCGGACATAATCACACTCGTGCATTTGTCATCAAAATGGCGGTGTCTTCAATTCAACTACGTCACAGGAGGCGTTGTATCTTGGAAATTACCCAGTTTGGCGGCGAACCAAAATTAGCCTTAAACTTTTTAAGACAGAATCGGTCTTGTTTTTCATTTTCTACCTTCATACCCGCGCGCATACTTGTTTTGCAACTCTTTAGTTACGTATTTTCGTCTTTTGAAGTATTAATTCTGAAAAGAAGCTTTGGTGGCTTAACTCACGAAAGGGGAATCGTGCCAGTAAATTGGATGACCCAATCAACTAAGTATTTGAATACGAATTTCCTGAAATAACCGCCTTGAATGGATCCCAACGATAGAAAAGCTACGATTGATAAAAGGAAATTTGAAGCATCCCTCTTGGGGGAATGAAGAATGTTTTCGACGAGTAAGGGGTAAAAAAACGTACGAGACAGCGAAGCTTCTTTCTCGAGGAAGGACGTCCGTAAACATCTGGAATCCACCTCGTTGTGGTGGACTCTCCCACATTGCTTTTAACCTGGGTGTTTAAAACACGCAACCTGCCAATTATTTCTTATTTTCAGTCGAAAATGTTATGGCGTTATTTGTACACTTTCAAATGTCCTTACAGTAGCTATTAACGTCCTGAAAACCGTGGTTTATGTCTACATATTTATTTGTAGTTCTGACTACCCATCATTTACTAATATTGTTGATCTTCTCTCCATTAGGTCGGAAATGCAGTGCCACCGCCCTTAGCGGCCGCTATTGGCCGTGAAATAAAGAAATGTTTGACTGCTGGATCCAAGTATAAATCGCCAGAATAAAAACACGCAGTGCAAGCTGGCTGTGTATACCTTTTTGCGATCCTTGCCGCGTCAAGGCGTCACATATGATTTGTGAAACCAGTATTCGCACGCTGTGCGCTCAAATCTTCGAATACATATGTATTTTTTCACTCGAAAGCTGGACCACTTTTAACAGCAGACAGTTAGGCTCATTTCATTCAAACGTTGAATAAAAGCTAGTGATATCTCGTAATTGCCTTTGTGGTTTATATCTCTGCAAATATCAGCGTCCTCAGAGCAAAGTGTTGTCTCTGTTCCAAAACTGCCTCCACAAGCAAAGCCGTTGGCCAAAGTCTCCGAATCTTTTCGAAAGATTACCTCAATTCAAGTGGCTTTGTAAAGCCATGTTCCTTCTCTATTTTTCCAATACTGGCAGAGTTGGTGGAAAATGGGATTACCATTGCAAACTAATCTCAAAAGAGGATTAATCAGCCGCAACGCGAAGAAAGCCTCCACCTAGAAACTAAATATTATGAAAATGCTATAAATTTTACGGTCAGCGTCAAATGAATGACTTTGACAAGCTGCAAGAGAACAACTTGCCTGTATTAAAATAAGCGAATCATTCGTCAGAACGAATGATTCGCTCTGACCAAGGGCTAACGCTCGAAACGTCAGCTTTTTAACTCGGCAGTTACGGTGGCCAATTTACAATTTCAGCTTAGTTGATATAACCAATTACCTTGATAAGGAATGGGAACGATTCAGGATGGAAAGGATTTGTCAAATTCAAAAAGTTTCAATTAAATTTTCAAAGATACAAATACTGCGGCGAAACTATCTTTTTTCAGCCCTTAGAAACAACACTCGTGTTAAGTGACATCTTTAAGTGAAAATAGATATGTTTAATAGGTTCATCGTCAATTGCAAATTACCCAACCACTGAAAATTTATTGTACAAAAATGATGCAAAAATAAAATCAACGATAATTCAAGATACCATTCTTGACCTGACTTACAGATAAATATATCAACATATAATTTAAAATATTCAACAGAGAAAATGGTCTCAGGGAAAACATCAAACAAATCAAAACAAAATGCCTGTCTTAACTTTACAAAAATGAAAAAAGTATAATTTCCCGAGAAATATTAGGTTGAGATAAGTAAACCTCCCAGAACTGCTACTTGCAATAATAATATTAGCTTGAGCATAGTTAGTGTTTTGTCTTCACTCATTTAGAGGACAAGTATATGAGTCAGAAGGAGAACTTCTGGCACGATCTAAGGAGTAAGAGGGTTCAAAATATCGACATAAATGATCATGCCCATAATCATAAACGTGTGTTGAACTGCACTCGTTTGCTTACAGGACTGATTTGCCTTAAAACAATACATTACTGAATTCTTCAAGGACACCGCCTTCCCATTCACAATTCGAAATCTAAGATACAAAAAAAAAAACAATGTCGAATAAAATTTCAGACCTAAAGACGATTACCCAACCAAACAGAACCGAGCCCTCTTGGGTTGAGATCCATGTTTCACTTGTTGTTTTAGGTTTTTCGCCATTGCAACTGTATCTTAGCTTCTTATGGTCGGGACTATTCCTTTGATGACGGAGTCATTTTCTAAATATTAACATTTCGTGCTGGCCACTTGCACAGAGTTAACAACGACCTCGTCGGTGCACATCAAAATCTCTGGTACTCATACATCAGCCCTCTCCGTGCACTTCAACACTCCATACTGACTTCACTGAATCGCACACGCTCCGCTATATTGCTGTGTAGTTCCATGAAAGGGGGTCTGTCCTCCATTTCCCTTGTCCAGCAGCAGCACATGAGACGGTACAGATCATCTGGACATGTCTCTGGCTGAGGCAGCCGAGTGCAGGGTTTACCTGTCCCATGAAAAATCTTCTGCGCGTTATCGATGACTTCCTCGTCAGTGAGTTCCGAGTAAGGATATTCTTTAGCAAGAGTGAGAATCTCCCATAAAGTGACACCGAACGCCCACACATCACCAGACGTTGTAAAGCGACCTAAGAGTATGAACACACACGTGCAATGAATGTAAATGAAATACGAAAAAAATAAAATAAAATAAAATACGTGAGACGAAAGTCGCTCTCCTCCGCATGATCTACAGCTGTAGTTGAATCTTGTGCTTCCCTGGTATGTTTCGTAAGGGTTCCCTACAGCCCACTCTCGGCAAGTCTCCTCTACTTTTAGAAAAACCCTTCCGATATCTCGGTAAACTTCACGCTTGTTTGTCTAATTGGACGTAACCAACAACCTAAATTACTGTCCCAGATTGACATCTCCCATCGAATAAGCGCCTCTCGTATCGACCAAAATTAAAAAATAAACACCCCCACCCACCCCCTCCTAAAATAAGTGCCTAATCTCCTCCCACAGTATCACTGCCAAGTATTCAAACGATAAGAAACGTACAACAATGGCGTATTTCCTCAATCTCGTCCACCCTTCAAATTCATAGTGGGTATGACCCACTATGGAAACACCTCGAGTTTGAGGAAGAAATTACGAGTCCCAACTGAGCCGTTGTTAAAACTTTACGATCATCTGTGAGTAGCAATACACTGCTTTTCCTGTCGTTGACCCTGTATCACATAAAACGATCATATTTGGGGCCTCTGTGTTACCCTAAATTTAAGGTGAATCCAGACACTAATCAGAGGAATCATAGAATACTATGCGACAATCTGTTACCTTGTAGAATACATTCAGGCGCCATCCATCGTATTGGCAAAATCACACGTCCCTCGACGCGATAATAATGTTTAGAGTACAAGTTCCTTGACATTCCGAAGTCAGCAATCTTGACAGTATATGCGTGTCCCACCAGACAGTTACGCGTGGCCAGATCACGATGCACATAATTTAAAGACGATATGTACTTCATTCCCGCTGCCACTTGTTTGGCCATGAAAAACAAGGCTTGAAGAGAGATATACTGCCCGGCGTCCTGCCATCGATCGTTTTCACTCCAGCTGGGCGTAAGCTCTCTTTCTTTCAGGAACTGATTCAGGTCGCCATTAGCCATGTACTCTACTATCATACACATGGGATCATCCCGACACACACCTAACAGCCGGATCACATTCGAGTGCTTCAGCCCCGCCATGGCTTTCACTTCCTTAAAGAAATCATCCTTAATGTTCTTATCAACATCCAGCTTGAGAGTTTTAATAGCGACTGTTGTACGAGGGTTATTTTTTAACTCCCCGCCCAAAATATCTCCCAATCTTTCAACCTCTCCAATATACACCTCACCAAACTGTCCATCACCGATCTTTTCTTTGAAGTGAAGCCTGTTACGAGGCAGTTCCTTGAGTGTGTCTAGTCTGGGTCTAAAGTTTAGCTCCTCGTCAGGGTTACAGTACATACTGGTGCCCGTTACGCCCTGAAATGGCTCGGAATAAATCTCCTCGTAAATAGGATTTGGGAAAGTATTTAATGATGTGGGAGAAATGACATCAATTGGATCAGCATATCCGCTAACAACTCTAGGTTGGGGAGAATTCGGTATCAAACTATTTTTTTCGCAAGGGGAGTCCGGCTCGGCATAGTCACTATAGGCAGCATCTGATTCCTCCGTGAGGTCTACTTGAGGAAGACTTTGGAGTGTTGCATGTTTGGGAGATCCACCGTTTGTGGATGAAAGCCACAAAGGAGTGTTGGGCTCGGCGTAAATAACCTCTGAAGGAGGCTCAGGCGGCTTCAGTGGCGGTGGTATGGGACGTTTGTCTGAAGAAAAACAAAGACACAGATAGATAAAGTACAGGATACTGTTTTCACAGACTTTCCTTTGCTCTTAAAACATCGCTTTCCACTCAAGTGTTCAAAGGTACGCGAACGCAATGGGTTGGAGGCTTAAACAAACAAACTTGTAATTGGTTGGTAACTTTACCTACAACATAGTTCCTAGTAAATTAATTGTGAGAATTGGTTTTAGTTACAATTCAAAATTGCACCCAGAGTTCAGTTTCTTTCTACCCATCAATTGTTTATAGGATGATGTACTTGCATCGTCGAGAGAAGTGCCATGTAAGTCACTTTTAACATATGAAGGGTTACTAGCTTTTGCACATACCTTTTTTTGAAGACTTGTGTTCAGAATGTCTCTCACAGTTTGGTACGTTATTCTGTTCATCGCTTTTCACAGCCCCTTTGTTCAGATCATCCCGTATACTGGCATATATAGGACTTATGGTCACCTCTGCAGCCCCGCGTTTTTCCCCAGCCTCATTGTACACGTTGTTCTTCAAGCTGCCTCTCTTTTCTTCGTTTTCGCTTGCTGTACTATCCAGTCGAGAAACGCGCTGCGAACTTTGATAACGCGCGTACGGCTTTACTTCGACTTTGATGAAGGAGTTGAATGGCTTTTCACGCTGAGAGACCCAATGAGGATAACGCTTGCAGCAGATAAACAAGGCAACAGCCACAAGGACTACTAAGACGGAACAAATGATTGCAGCTATTACACCACCATTTAAAGAACCACTTCCATTACTAGTCTCTCCTCCTGAATATCAAAGAAAAGATTTCTGGTTATTGTCTTTTTTCAGGTACATTTTGCATGTCTTTACTAGCAATACCACCATCTCTACTATACAGGGGAGCGGTAGTCTCAATCGGCGAGAAGAGTACAAATCCGCTGACGGATTTGAACCAAGGGCTCTAAATCTGCAAGCGAAAATGGACCTGTTGGGTCACCGGCTAAGTCGTGGGAGGAAGGCAGATAGCTCTGCTCTTTCCAATTGCGTCATGGAAACCAGAAATGCAGCAATCACTTTTTGGGGTGGTTTGCAAGTCACCCACCATGTAGCACTACTAATCGCCACATTCTTTATTTTTATTTTACAAACTTCTCCCCTAATGCAAGTAAGGTGGGTCGGATGCAGAAAAGCAAAGATAGCATCAAACCTTTGATTCCTTCAATGCCATCTGTTGGGCTGTTAGTGGTGATAACACCTCCTAGACCAGTAGTGGGAGGTTTAGTGGACAAAGGGGGAATAGAAGCACACACGGGTAATGGTGGTGATTTTTCACCAAGTGGTTCTGAAATTAAAAAGGTTTAAGTATGTGCATTATGTTAGCAAATAAATTCAAATTCAATCAACAAAAAGACTATTCTTAACTTCAACAAAAGGAAAAAAACCCTAAAATAAAAATTAATACAACCCAAGAGAAAGTTGACATAAAGGAGGAAGGAAGATGGAAGGACTCAGAAAACCAGGACAGTCCTTCCTTAGCTTCACAAGCTTTCAATTTTCTCTAATCAAGTTCTTTATTTTTCTTTAATTCCACTTAATAACTGAACAGAAATATTAGTTCTAGAGAATAAAGGTCACACCGAAAAAGACGTGCAAATTATAATGCATTCACTTACATTGTTCAGTATGTATAATATAGCTTCGTAAATGGTCTGAAAACACAGAGTAGTTTTGAAGCAAGCAGAGCAGCCAATGACACAAGAAGAATTGGATGGAAATAAAAAACCTTGCCTGCATAACAAGCATCGCTCAAGATATTCCACTGAAATACCAACACACTTGGTTCACTACAGTATCATGCTGTGGAATAACATCACACCCAAATGGGGCAAAAATTATATTCTTATCTTGAAGCGGGACTGCACTTCCACTTGGAAACAACAGTTCAGTTACAGTCTTTCAACAAAACAAATCTTTGAACTTACCTGAATTGAAAGTAACCTCACTGATCAATATCCAGTCTCCAGCATAGGTAAAGTTTAACTTCACAAACTTCCCAACATTTTGGCACAAGTCAACTGTGACATTGTAGTTTTTCCATCCTGTTCCACTTGAAATTTGCTTTGGTTTGTGGGTCAGTGGCTTGTCAAGTGTAGCAGCATCTTCTTTAAATCTTACAGTAACCCTAGAAAACAACTTGACATCTGCTTCATCTCTGACATTGCAATGAATTGTCAATGAATAAAAGATTCTTGTGCTCAAAAACTCAAATATGATGTAAGGGTTTGGAGTATCCTTAGAGTTCCAGCCAATCCAACCAACTCCATTATTTTTGGCATAATTGACAGGAGCCAGATGGCCATCAGTAAGCATTCCAAGGCCAGAGAGCAGAGTGTTGCCTTTGATCAAACCATCATAACTTGAATCAGTGAAGTTGTACTTCTCTTCCATTGTATTACCTTGAAGAGTCTTGTATGTGAAGAGTCCTGAATAATAAGAGGAAATTCAAGTTTTCAGCCAATTTGACAGTAAGAGCAACTGTTTAACAATTGAAGTGTTACTATACAAACATTTAAGATGTTGAGGTTCTCCCAGTGTTTGACACCAACACCTGCCTGGATGCCTTTAAAGAGGTAAGTGAAACTACCATAAAATGTGCCCCAAATCAGTTTTTTGCTCCTTTCAACCAATAAATAGGTTTAATTGAAAACTTATTACAGGTTATTCATTTACCGCAGTGAAGATATCAATGATACATTCCCCGTGGTATCATCAAAAAGGAAGACCAGGCACAAGAATTACAAAAATTATATTCAAATTTAAGTTTGCTGTTGAAATTCTAAATGATGAAAATTGAGTTTGAAATTCTTCTGTATTATTTGTTCTTCTGGTGACCAATTATTCACCCAACAAATTGCTTGTCACAACAAGTAGATGGCCAGAGTTTACAAAATACAGTTGAGCATTTTTACCAGTTTATTTTGATTGTTCATTTGTAAAAAAGAAAAACAACATCAAAACAAAACAAAAACCAAAGCTGGTTCTTAAAAAGCAAAATTAAACTGGCCTATAAGTTAAGTGTGAAACTCTATTATTACATCTGTTATCTAAAACTCTTCCCCCTTTGCATATCAAATGCAAGATTCAACAAGCAATGGATGCAGAAACTGTAACACTTTTTTCAATTACCATTTTTTGGTGAGCAGCCAAGAAGCTCAAGCCTCAGACACACTTGTCTCTTTGGATTTATTCTTGGAACAATTCTGATGGCATCTGCTATGATTGGTGGCTTCAATATGTTTTCTTTCTGAGGGATATGCTTACTATTACCTTCAAAGAGCTGTTGGCAAAGAAACAATAAACACAAGTTAATGAAGGTCACTAAACACAATTAATCAAAACTACATGAGGCGTGTGAAAGATCGTGCACGAGCACATTTAAAAGTGCCGGGTTGGTCATTAGTTTGGAATGAACTTCTGACCAAAAAATGCCTATGTTTTTGTCGACTAAAACATACTAGACAAAACTTGTCCTTTCATTCACAGCGCTGAGAAAATATTGGGACCAAAGTGATCCATTAAGATCACCGATCACTTCACGTGCACCTCCGCCAATGTAATCTATTGTGTAACTTGCACTTATTGCAAAAAGTTATACATCAGCAAAACAGGAAGACGACTAGGGGACCGATTCTGAGAACACCTTCACGACGTAGAAAGGAATGACAAGGACGCATCAAAATCAGTTGCTAGACACTTTAATTTACCTAATCATTCTAAACAACATATGGCACTCTGTGGTCTTTCCTTATATTTAGGCAACATAGAAAGCTGCAAAACTCTTGAACAAAAGTATCTTTCAAATCAGCACTCTTAATCTCACAGGTATCAACGAATGCTTTTCATTCCACTAATTTATTCATGTTTTCTCATCGCCATGTTTCCACCAATGGTGTAGCTCCACTTTCTGCATATAAATCCACACACAACCCAAAATTCCTCCAGTTGCTCTGATGAAGGGCTAATGCTCAAAATGTCAGCTTTTTTATTCGTTACAGTGGCCAATTTACAAATTCAACCTAGTCGATATAACCAAGTTACCTTGTTACCCCCACCGATGCAGCACCACAGTTTCTTTAGAAACTTTCAGCCTTTATTCATTAAAAATGGTAGCATAGGCCAAGAAAAATATGTCCAAGTAGCAGTAGTTAATATTATAACACTATTTCACTTGATCATTCTTTACATTGTTTGTTTAACCCATTAATGGCCGCAGCTTTTGCGGAAAACTGTGTTTTGAAGCTAGTCGGGCAGATTTCGGGTCACTGTTGTGGTTTGAAAAGCTCAAACTTACCAAAAACCACT